CCTCCAACCCTAAACCCTCAAACCATACTTCCGCCCAGGGACCAATGGGGCTCTCCTTCCCAGCTATTCCCGAAACACCCTACACCCTAGGCTCTCTTTCCTGGCTTCTTCCGCCTCCAACCCTAAACCCTCAAACCATACTTCCGCCCAGGGACCGATGGGGCTCTTCTTCCTAGCTATTCCCGAAACACCCTAAACCCTAATAAATACTTCCGCCCAGGGACCAATCGGGCTCTCTTTCCTGGACCCAAAACCCTAAACCCTAAACCCTCAAGCCCAAGCCTTTTTTAGCTATTCCCGAAACACCCAGAACCCAAAACACCCTAAACCCTAATTCTTCCGCCCAGGGACCAATGGGGCTCTCCTTCCTGGCTTCTTCCAGCGGCTGAAGGGTTCGGGCGAAGACCGGCGAGGTCTCGCCGTTTACGGAGATGAGAAGCCTCCGGCGGCTTCGGGGTTCAAGGAGCTTCAAGCGGGATTCCTAGGGTGGGGGTTCAGGGGTTTAGGGTTTAGGGCCTAGGGTTTAGGGTTTAGGGTTTACGGATTAGGGTTTAGGGTTTAGGGTTTAGGCTCATCAAGTCACCAGCCCGAAGAACAGGTTTAGGGTTGAGGGTTTAAGGTTTAGGGCTTGTTCTTTGTTAGGGTTCCTCTCAAGGGTTCCTCTGATACTTGAGGGTTTCGCTGGAAGGGTCCTGTGGGCGCAGAGATTCTTGACCCATTATGTTAAAGTTGGTTTAAAGCTTCTTTCATTGATATTTAACCATTAAAGATTCTCTTTTTCTTTGATGATTAAATGTGTACATTGCTTTAAAATACTGTCTGGGGTTTAGTTTCTATACCTGCGGCTCTGTTCCATCTACTTATCTCTGTTGTCTCGTTAATATTATTGACTTTTCTGTCTGCTGACAAAATTAGTTACACTGTCATTTATTCTTTGATGGTGTACCTCTCTGGCCAATAACTCTTCTTTATGGACTACCTTAACCTACTTGTCGAGTATCCTGGGGAAGTAAAGGTTAACCTTTGGGAGTATATTGAGATTATGTAGGGCTATATACTACCCCAAAAAAGGCTAAAGGTCCCCCTAAACCCTAAACCCTAAACCCTAAATGCTAAAAGGTTACCTACGCTACGACTAGGCTAAAGGTTCCAGGAAGGTTTCCTGCTGAGGTCCTTGCCGTGGTTTTGGGGCGCCTGCGGCTTCCCCCAGACCCTAAACACCCTAAATTAGAGGAAGCTACAGCACAGGCTTTCAAACGCAGGGCTGTTAGACTTGGGGTCATATTTCCTGGGGAGTTTAGGGTTTAGGGTTTAGGGTTTAGAGTTTAGGGTTTAGGGTTCAGGGGACTACAGGTTGGGAGTTTAAGGTATATAGGGCTTCTATAAGGCTTCCATAAGGTATATAGACCTTCTATAAGGCTCCTATAACGGTAGCCACCCACCTGAAAATGTCCTAGACTAAACCCTAAACCCTCAGATTTTAGGAATTCGGGATCGCCTAGGGGATCCTCGGAAGCTGAGGGCTCTTATTCATGGGGTTGATGTTTCTGATTTCGGACCCCGGACCCTAAACCCTCAACCCCTAGAGCCCTGAACCCTACACCCCAAACCCAAAGCCCTGAACCCTAAACCCTAAACCCTAGAAGCCCTGAACCCTAAACCCTAAACCCTATGAACCCTAAACCCTATAAGC